CAAAAACCATAGCACTAAAGCATAAGTTACCATTCTACTTCACATAGTTTTTAATTCATCGACATTGCATATTAATACTATACTAATACCAATCAAGAACATTAGTTTTAAATAACCATCACACAACTATCTAAACATACAAATAGAGAGTTTAGACAATCTGATTACCTCAATCCTTTTATTACTAAAACGATTATCATGGTCAACCAATGGCTTCACATGTGTTCACTAGTACCACAATGCTTGGTCAAAGACTAATCTATAAGATTAAACCCTTAATTGTCAATTTACATACTAATTATCTCATTTTTGACACAATTATGGGTGCCTATTATACCTAAAACCTCAATTTAGCCCCAACAATTCTACTAACACACTTTATAAAATTTAATTTAACACCTAAATGCATAAATAACACCATTACATTACTCACATTGCTTTTAATTACTGAATTTTTACCTAGGGTTCGTCCAAACCCTAATTAAAAACTTTAAATCACTATAAAATTCATAATCTAGGTTTAAAGGCTTGATTTAACTCTCCAAAGCCTTATCTAAGCTAATGGGTTCACCCAATAAAACATGAAATCATAGCCCCACAATACTATAATCCTCAAAGAATTTGAACATAGAGAAGGAGAGGTATAAGAAGTTTACCCAAAGTTAAATCTTACTCCAAATGCTGCTAAAATGACCCTAAGGTCGAGCCCTAACACTCACCTATTGCTGCTTTTCATCTCCACACATTCTCTTTATCCCTCTTCTAAATTTCGGTTTGATTTTGTGACTAATAAGTGCATATTTATATATGTGTGCCGCAGTGCACTGGCTCACTCACCGCAGCGCATGATACAAAAAGTCTTCTCCACTATTTAAATCTCCTCTAATGCCATGGCTTGCTTGAACTTTGATCCAGCCCTCTTCTAAGGCTATCCAATAATCTATTGGCTACATTAGTTTCCTAAAAATATCATTAACAAAAAATTTACTTAATTGACTAAAATACCCTTATAAATACTGAAAATTCCCAAAGTTGAAATCTAAGATGTTACATTAAAAGTTTACCCCTTAATAATTTACTTTTAAGCTTGCTCTTCAAACTCAAATAGGTGCATGGATGATTAATCTACAATTAATCAATTCCAACTAACCATTATCACCATTTACACACTTCAAGCTTTTAATTTTCAATTTTATAAATAACTTAAAATTCCCATTCTTAGCATTCAAACTTCTCCAGTAGGTGTGTTAGCTTATATCAACCTTAATCAATTCATTAAACTCTCAGCTCATCATTAATGACATCCAAACTTCTTCAATCACCCCATTTATTATGGAATTTTGGCCATGAATGTCTTTCCAATAACCAAAACATGTAAACCTATAAACCTTAGGTTTAAATATCTTAAGAAACTTACATTAACTCTATTTGAATTAATGGGTTTAAACCCAAAACCTATAAGGACCAAAAATTATCTCTCATTAACAAACCCTAACTTAATGCTTTGAGAAAATAGGTTAGTGAGGAAGAAGAAGAGCTAGGAAATTTACTCTTTGGGTTTGATAGCTTAGAAACACTCCTAATCCTCTATAAATGGGAGCCTTAGCAGAATTCCAAGCCTCTACCTCTTCTTTTTCTAATTTTTCAATTGACGTATGCTACTTTTTGTTAGAAATTCGAGTCGTGTGTGTAGCGTGTGGCACAATTTGAGCCATGTGCCATGATGCATGATGCTTATAATGCCTAATGTGACCATGTGCCATGGCGAATGCTTCTTTGTAGCAGCTAATGGCATATAACCTCCCATTCTATATTTTCTCCCTCCTTTAGCCTACATGGCTTGAACTCGATCTCGAACCCCCTTTTTAAGGCTACTCCCAAGCCTCGATGGTCCCTTAATCATCTTTAACCATCCTTTAAGTTAATCTTACTTAATCAAACTTGATTATCTCTTTAATTAGCTAAGGGGTTAAAATTTGATGTTATGGTTGACAAGGATCTAATGAGGAAGGAAGAAGAATACTAGTGTTGGGTAGAGGAAGAAAGAAGGAAGATAAGACAACACAGATAGAAGAGATGCACATATAGATGAAGGGAGAGAAGAGGAAGAGGAAGAAGAAGATACACATATATGGATGGAGGGAGAAAGGAGGAAGAAGATGAGAAATATGTTCCCAATTCAAAATGGGCCCCATATTTATAAGTAAAGTAACATATGTCTCTTCAAATTTCACGGAAGGTGCTAGGTGCTTTGTTTTAAATAATTAATAATTTAGTTTGCCGCATCTCATAGTATGAAATACCAAATATTTTTTGAAAAATAATTGTTGGCTAAATTTTCACATTTATCTAATAGTCTTTTATGCATGCGTCAAAAAGCTATTATGTTTAGGAAGTTTGACAATTAGGTTATAAAATATTAAATTAATAAATGTTAATTTTTCAACATTTATTTTAAAATGAGTTTAAAATATTGACCCAGACAATTACGAATTTAATAATTTTAATTATGAATAAAGTATTTAAGTTTCAAATGTAAAATATCAAATTGTTAATGAGATTCTTATTTAATTTATAATAATTCAAATCAATATTTCTGACTCATTTTTTTAAATTTTCAAGCATAAATTTTATTACAATAATTAACTTTTACTATTGACAAAAAATGACTCTTGCTAAATAAATTTTTGGGTAAATGTGTTCAGTTAAAATTGTTAGAAGTGACTGTCATTCTCCTCTGGGTTGATAAATACGAATTTGGGTGTTTGATCAACGGATTTAATTTAGAAAGTTGATACGAAGCTATCGTAATTTTGTAGTCCAGGCCCGAATATTTTGCGGGCCATTGCTGCCCATTGCTCGTGGCCTGGCTTCATTTCTCCCAAGTTACATTGCTTAATGCCACCTTTTGTTTTTGGTACATATCTGAATACAACTTCCAATTGCTGTAACATTGTCCTCCTGGGCTACAAGATGTACTCGATGTTGAGCCAAGTAGAAGCCCCAGTTCTGAGATGTAAAGAAATGGATCCATATACACAAATACGAGGAACAAGAATTCTTTGTCATTCAAACACGGAATAAGCAGCCAACCAATAATTATTTATCAAACACGCAGTTCACACAGAGAGTATTGATCTTATTTGGCAGCATTTCGTTTCATTACTGCTGCTCAATTCATTTTAATACTCTTCTTCTCATTAAAGTAATTTATCGAAAAATTTCGACAGCTAATCTGGGTTGTTTACATAGTGAAGGTGCAATAATTCCATATTAAAACACCATAATGAAATGGTTTTAAAATATAATACTTATTCCTACTACGTAAATCGATGCTATTTTTCACTGTCATAATGTGTTTCTGCACTGTGTATAGTGCTTACTATACTATAATATCATTAGCTTTGGTGAGTATGGCATTTTAAATTAGGGCAAAATATCGTAACCTCCTTTTTATTTTATCTTAATTATAAATATATCTCTTTTATTTTAGAAACCTAAATAACTACAAAACACAAATTTCCCCTCTATTATTAAGATTTTATTTCTATCTATTCAATGTTCATCGTTAAGTTATATATATTAAATCAAAATACATCATTTTTAAATATAAACATTGTTTAAAATAATTTAAACTACCCTAAAAATCAATGCATTTTATTAATTTATTAATTTATATTTTATTTTTTCATTTTTTAAAGTACTTATTTAGTATTTTAAAAATATTAAATGTAAAAATTGGTTAAAATAATATTTCAAACACGCAATTAAAACAAATTAATGAAATAAAGATTTTTTTCCATAATAAAATAAAGATTTAATATAATTTATGTTTATTTTCTTAATTTTCATTAATTTTATCATAAAATTTTAAATTATTTATTTAAGCATCCACATACTTAATTATTTAAAGTTCTTAAAATACGAAAAGAGAATACACAATTAGATTAGTAGGACAAGTTATTAATTTTAAAAATTTCAATGTAATTTCAAGTGAAAAAGTTAAGTATTTTAGAATATTTTAATATTAATAATATTAAAAAATGAATTAAAGTGTAGATTTTTCAAAATAAAAAGAAGACGTCAGTAATCTTAACAAAACAGAAGGGAAGTCATATTTTACTCTTCAAATTATCTTTCAAAGACTCAAAACAAACAACTGCCCATGAAGAATTAAAAAAAATAATTATTTATATCTAAAAAATAAAAATAAATATCTAATTTTTATTTTATAATTTTTAATTCATAATTACTTATGCAAATATATTTTATATTTTTTAGGTGCTATCAATTTATTCATAAAAATTATCACTAAAAACATATACCGATGTATTCTTATAAATAATATTACTTTTTGTAAAATATCACGTTAACATTTTCTCAATATTTAATTTTTATTAGTTTTTTATTCATCCAGAGCTTTTGAATCTTGAACAGTTTAACTTATACCAACGGCTCGCCTTTTCCTATTTTTTATCAATATTTAATTTAGTGTAAAGCTATGAATTTTGCGCGTCCGGCGTTGGTGACGGTGCTCAATCATGATGACAATCTGTTTAATTTGGATGATTGACATTTACAGGTTTTTTTAATATTTTATTTTATATTTATTTAAATAAAAATTATAAATTTTAATAAATTTACCTGGTATTAATTTTAGATACCGCAGATTTAATTTAAATAATTTAATTTAATATTAAATATTTTTATAATTTAAATATTTATAAATACATTAGACAACCTAAATTTAAAAATTTTAAATTATAACTTTTTCTTAATTTTTTAAAATTTTAGTTTAAAGATTATCTTTATCTTTATTTTTTAATATTATATTTATTAAAATAAAAACTTATTAAATTTTTAAAAAATTTAATGTTAAATTCACACTATTTAAAATATTAATTTTATAAATTTTTATAATTAATATAAAAATAAAATCTTAAAATTTGAACTGACGGTTCAGGTACAAATCAAGGGATAAGCACCTGCACCGAATCCGATCTGTCGCGCTCTTTCTCTAAAAACAATCTTTTGAGGCCCAAAAAGACCAAAACTTTCCTAACTCAAACTTCCTCGATTCGGATTAAATTCAAACTATTATTGTTTTTTAGAAGTTGGGTGAGAATTTCCCAGTATCGCTGCTGCCAGTGTTATTTTCTTTTTCTTGTTCTTGATGGGGAAAGGAGGAGGCTGCGTTCCCAGCAAGAAGAAGGCAGTGTCAGTCGTCGATGATCCTCCCTGCGACCGCGCCGGAGGGTTGGGAAACGCGCGGATCGTAGTTGGGGAAAACGCCCTTGATGCAGATGCAGATACTGGGGCCACATCAATCCAAGAAACAGCGTCGCACTCCCACACAGTATTGAAATTGAAGATTTTTATTGTGTTCTATTCCATGTATGGGCACGTTGAAGGATTGGCTAAGAGGATGAAGAAGGGCGTCGATGGAGTGGATGGGGTGGAAGGGGTTTTGTATAGGGTGCCGGAGACACTGCCAATTCAGGTATTGCAGCAGATGAAGGTGCCGCCGAAGGACGAAGGCATTCCGGAGATCACGGCTGCGGAGTTGCCGGCGGCTGATGGGCTTTTATTTGGATTTCCGACCAGATATGGGAGCATGGCGGCGCAAATGAAGGCATTCTTTGATTCAACGGGGCAGCTCTGGAAGACGCAAGAGCTCGCGGGGAAGCCTGCTGGATTCTTTGTGAGTACTGGGACTCAAGGAGGTGGTCAAGAAACTACTGCGTAAGTGTGTTTGTGTGTTTGTTTCGTTTCCAGTTTCGCTTGGATTGAAGTCTGCATTGGGCACTCTTTGATTTTGGTCTATTAATGCTAATTAATTCAGTCTAATATAACACAAGTGTGACGTAGAAATTATTGGTCATAGGTACATTACTTCTTGAAGTCAATCTGCATGGATAAGCATTTTTTCCTTGCTTCAATTATACGATATGAACACAAAACTTGAGAATTTTATATTGCTCGTTGACTGCAAGCTTTGTGTCAGAGGAATAAAAACTTTAAAGTTAGTACTCTGAATTACTCTGCCATGTTGCATAGATGCTTCATTTTGTTACGAAGGATCTGATGTAGGGAGTGACATTCCAAATTGGCTTGAATAGTTGAATAGGTAACTTTATGTGGGGTGAAATATTAGGTTCTGGTAATACATTCATGAGTATCATGGGCAGAGATAGGGTTAGAAAATTGCTTGGATTGTTAGTGATCATGATAAAAGTCCAAATCCCTTGTGGAATTGCACGATTTCTTTTACAAATATCGACTATGTAAGCATGCTTTTCTTTATCAGATAATTCATTTAAGATGGGAATAAACAGCAATTGCAAGGCTGCACATAATGTTCGTGCTGGCTTCGCTCTTCTATGTGCTTAAACGATTCTCCGTCCTTTATGCTCTTCATAATTAATAGATTTCATTCAGTATAATTAATAGATTTCTTTGACATGGATTGGTCATAGCTTCTATTCATACTGTACATATCTCTGATTTTCTCTCTGGACAGCATAAACATACACTCAACAATGAAGCCAGGGTGGCTAGGATAAGAATCGCAAATTGTCAAAGCAAATACAAAATGGCTAACATGAAAGTTGGCAAGGCTTTGTCTGATTTCCACATTCTTTGGGATGTACAAGTCAAGATGTTTGTATCTTGGTGTCTAAACCTATAATGATATATTAAAGACAGTATCCATTTTGGATAACTAAGACGTTTGAGAATCCTAGATTCTTGGATGTAAATAATGGCGCTTATTACCTCCCTGATGGCTCTTTGGTCTTGAAGAGGAGACACAGCAATGTAATGAGTGGTTGAAACTTAACTGAAGTTCAAGTGTAAAGTTGGGATTCATGTAAGCCTCTTCTTATTTATCAATTAAATTTCTCATCTAGATGACAAAATTAACAGATTTTATGGTCATGATGTGTGACTATGTCAGATTAAGTTTGGATTCAGTTCAAGTTAATGTGATCAACTTATGACAGAACGATCACATTAATTAGTAGAGGATATATGGTTGAGTTTTGCTTGGAGTAGAAGAAGGAATATACTTTGCATCTTATACATTTTTCTAAATTGAAGATTTCGTGGCATTTTTTGATGGAAAACTGGAACAGATTACGAGATTTTGATGGTTGAAGGAAGCTACTGATTGCTGTGTTTTCTATTGCAGCTGGACAGCAATCACCCAGCTGGCACACCATGGGATGCTATTTGTTCCTATTGGATACACATTTGGACCTGGTATGTTCAAGATGGATTCCATAAGAGGGGGTTCTCCATACGGTGCTGGAGTGTTTGCCGGCGATGGAACGAGAGAGCCAAGCGAGACAGAGCTGGCACTTGCAGAGCATCAAGGCAAGTATATGGCTGTGATAGTCAAGCGGCTGGCCCTGTCTTCTTGATGCTTTCTTGATTTCATTGTCTATTCTTGTTGGGCATCCACATTTTTCTACCTTTCTGTCTTGTGGAAGATTGGTTATGGCATTTTACTGTTGTATTAGGTCCCCGAAATATGATAGTCTGTTCCCTTGTCAATTCCCAAGCTGTTCTTGGTTCTGCATTGTTGTGATGAATGTTATAGATTTTTTTCAAGGGGGGGGGGTAAAAAAGAACAAATAATACTGTGAATTTGTGTATCTTCCGGTTCCCTAGTTGTGGTCTCTTTTTATGGATGTATAGTGACGATTTGGTTTAATGAAATTGATTTATTTTTGGAAGGACCATCCGATAATTCCTGGCCATTACATCGTCTCGAGGTTTGTGGATCATCGTTTCAGCACTAGGTGACTGCTATGCGTCTGTGTGTGTGTGTGTGTAACATCACATTTTTGTTGCCAAGCTATTCAACCGTTCTTTGTGTATTTTAAATTGCCAGATATGATCAATCAAAACATGTTTTTAAGACCGTACTTCACAATAGCAAAAGAATTTCATAATTAATCTCTGTTGTGTACAAAAATGGAGGGTGATTGAGAGTTAAAAAAAATTGAAATGAAATTGTGAGAGGTAATGTTCAAGAGATAGTGGGTTGGGCTGTTGTGTTCAAATCCTCCTCTATTAGTTTACAGAAGACGCAAGAAAATAGGCCCAAATCCAAAGTCAAAATCTGTAGATGGTTTTTCTTGTCCAATAACTTCCATCATCTGATTGCATTTTTAGATTCTTATCTTAATAGGCTGAGTTTTCAATTATTTAGGGTATTAGTATGTTGTGCTGTCATTTAACCGTTGGATTTGCCTTGCAGTGTATGACATTATATTTGTAAGACTTTTTTATGAGAGATGTGAACATTTCAGTTTCCACTTATCGAAGATTCTCCCTTTTGCCTCTCTGAACTGTGTGAGATTCTTATTCAGTTTAGATAAAGATTATGTTTTATTTTGATTGAACCCTCAGTCCTAACAAATTGACATTAGAGCCAGGTTATTTCCAAGATGGTGCATACACGATTTAATAACTCCCATGACTTCTCTATTCCTACTTCTCCAAATTTATTAGAATCCATAGGGCAACAGTTAAAGCAACTCATTACTCGTATGAATGACATGGATGAAATTTCTGCCGATTTAGCAGCTTTGCAAGAACATCATCTCATAGAAGATACTGGCAAAAACAAAAGCAATGGAATAGATGCTTTAGGAGAAGAAGAAGAACGAGATATATTTTGGTGGCTTCGAAATCCTTCTAAGAAACCGCATACGAAAATGGATTTTCCTAAATTTGATGGTGGTGATCCCAGGGGCTGGATCCTTAAAGCAGAAAAATATTTCAGATATTACCAAACACCAAAAGACATGAAAGGTGATGTTGTTGCCATGTATTTAGAAGGAGACGCACTCGACCTCTTCGCTTGGGCAAATTCAGAATTTTGGGCCAGCAGAGTTTCAAAATGCCGATGAACAAACTCAAATAGGTGGGTATGGTGCAAGAATATTGGCAGGAATTTGCTGAGAGGTCGGCAAGAGTCTGCGACTGGCCGAAGCATTGTTTATGAGGGAATTTTTTGAATGGGCTTAAGCAAGAGTTGCGGGCTGATGTTAGTGTACGAAAGCCCAGAACTGTTTATAAAGCCCTAAGCTTGGCTTCGGTATATGAATCCAACTCCAATATTCTAAATTACCCAAATCATCTGGGGCTTCTCAAATGAATCGGGCTTCATCTACTTGGCAATCGAGAGATAATAAAGGTGCGATTTCAACTTCTGCAAGCACATCGCTCTTTCTCTCTCCAACATGCGGTGCATGAACTCCACTTAGGACACAGAAAAATGGCAACATCGTGACAAGGGACTCTACTTTCGTTATGGAGATAAATTCGCCCCAGGCCATCGCTGCAAAAATGGAAACTGACTTTAATGGAAATCACAAAAGAGCACGATATGGAGAACGAAGGTTCAGAAGCGAAAGTTCAATGGAAGACCAAAATGTTCATGCTGAAATATCCCTTCTTGCCATTCTTAGACATCCAGCGAGTGCTACTATTAAGGTGGAAGGATTATTGAAGCAACGGAGGGTGATTATTGTAATCGATAGCTATCCATAATTTCATCTCTTCTTCTCTCGTGAAAGATCTGCACATTCTTACTAAACCAATTACTCCCTTTGGGATACAAATTGGTAACGGTCATATCATTCACTGCAATGAAGTTTGTCCTCGAGTTTTAATCCAAATTCAATCACTAGAAATCTTTCAAGACTTCTACCCATTTTCCTTGGGGGTGTTCAATTAGTTCTGGGCATTAAGTGGTTGGGTTTTTAAACTCCCAACACATATCATAGCCTCCTTCAAGTGTATACTTATGTATTGGCCCTTTAATGTGTTAATTTGGACTCCTAACACTTATTATAGTCTTTTGAGTATAAATATCTTCACTTGGGTTTTCCTTCATTTGGATGACTTGGCTTTGGGTTTTTTGATGACATGTAATGCCACCTAAGACATGGTTGTCACACATGCTGTCACCTAGGACTAAATTGTCAAATAGAATGCCATCTTAGATGCTAGCTAGGTTGCCACATTGGATCACATCACTCAGTATATTCTAGCAAGAACTTTTTTTGTTTATGTCACACACAACTTCTTATGAGTATTGCATATCACCTACAAAGTGATGGTCAAATAGAAGTTGTCAATAGATGCACAGGGACTTACCTACATTGTTGTGCTCATAAACAACCAAGATTATGGAGTAAGTATCTTTCCTAGGTTGAATTCTCTTTCAACACCAGTTTTCACACAGCAACTAGCAAGACACCCTTTAAAATTGTCTATGGTCAACTACTAAAGCTAGGAAAATGAGCCAAGCTCGTTTAAATTCATATAATAGTAGGGCTGATCTTGTAAATAAGATACTAAAATGGTAAATCGATTTTAATGGGCTTAAGCCGGTTTAATTTTGAGCTTAAACAGGGTCAGCCCTTAAGGGCCGAAGGCTAACCTGTTTAAGTACACATGTACTTTTTTTTTCAATTTTCATAACTTTGACTCTTTTTGGATTTGGAAAAATATTAAAGTAAATCTTACTTTACATCACATGTGAGTCCATATTTGTTAAAAAAGGAAGGCCAAAAATAGAGAATATAACTTTAAATCTCTTAATTCATTTAGATCTTTCAATCCCACATCTCAGTCCCTCAATCTCATCTGATCTAGATTGGTTGTTTCTTAGCTTTGCTTAGTGCCTTGTTGTCATTTCATTTATGTTTTTAGTTCATTTAGATATTATTTAATTAATTTTTTCATTATTTTCTTGATTGAGTATTATATTAGAATAAAGTAATTTTCTATTTGATAAAAAAATTTAATATAATTAAAAGAGCTTGAAGCCCACAAGATATGCCCTAAGCCTGCCATATCGAAGGTCGGGCTTCACATTTTAGGGTCATAAAAAGAATTCAGGCTTAAATGTATTGGCTCTTTTATGCCAGAGCCCGTTAGGGGCAGGCTAGCTTGTTTTTTCAATTCTATCAAGCACCTCCTCCAATTTCTCTTGATATTGCGGGTGAAACTATAGTGGCAAATTTGGAAACTCAACTTCTAGAATGTGATGCAATGTTACAATGGATCCGGGACAACCTACTCAAAGCTCAATCACTTATGAAAGCCTGATAAACATTGCCGAGATCTTATCTTTGATGTGGGAGATTTAGTATTCCTGCGCTTTCCGCCATATCGGCAATTTAGCTTAGCTAGAAAATGGCTTGAAAAACTGTTCCCTCATTTTTTTGGACCTTATCAGATTAATCGGAAGGTTGAACCTATTGCATATGAATTATAGCTCCCACCAAATGCCAAAATTCATCCAGCCTGCCGTGTTTCCATGTTACACCCGGCTCATGGCATCGCTTCTCCCTCACAGCCTCCTCCTCTTCCAATTTCAGATTCTTGGGAACTTATTCTGCAACCTCTCACCAGGTTCTCACACATCGTTGCGTTATGATAGGGGGCATTGCTATACTGGAGAATCTAATTTCTTGAAACAACATGGGAAGAATATGACCTTATTCATGATCAATTCCCTCACTTCAGCCTTGAAGACAAGGCTTCTTTTGAAGGGAGTACATTGGTAGAAAATAGAAATTCCCCACTGTTAGTTTACAAAAGACGAAGGAAATAGGCCCAAGCCCCAAGTCATCTGACATGCTGAGTTTTCAATTATTTAGCGTATTAGTATGTTGTGCTGTCATTTAACTTTTAGATTTGCATTGCAGTGTATGCCATTATATATTTGCAAGACTCTTTTACAAGGCATATGAATATTTCAGTTTCCACTTATCAGATATTCTCCCTTTTGGCTCTATCTAAACTCTGTGAGATTCTTATTCAGTTTAGATGAAGATTATGTTTTATTCTGATTAAACCCCTAGTCCTTACACAATTTTTTTTTCTTTAGTTTCAATTAAATCATTATATATTATAAAATACATCATTCTACTGCAAATCTACACTGTGATGAACAAATACTTTTTATTTTTTATTTTTTGTGCTTTTAGAGATTATTATATGGGGCCCGCAATAGTATAAAATTTATAGTAGAACAATAATGGTAGATGTGAGACCCATAATAAAAATAATAAACATGAGATCTTATCATTTGGTGCTTATATATTTTATATGTATAAGATAATAATATAAAAAGTATTTGTCCCACTATAAATCTATAGTGGGATGAACAGTAATTTTTAATTTTTTTTAAAGTATTTAGATTTTTGTTTTGAGCAAAATTAAAGTTTTTAGATTTTGAAAGATCATGTGGCACTTGTAATAACAATAGGTGTAAGGCTCGTAATGTAAAATTGACATGAATATGAGACTTGTAGTACAAATGATAGGTGTTAGACCTATAACTTATAGCTTATATTTTTTATATAAATAAAATAATAAATATAGAGTAAAAAACAAAGCTAAATAAAAATATAAGTTTGTTTAAATTTTAATTTATGTAGAAATAGACGAAATAACAATTTCTAAATAAAAATAATTTTTTGCTTTTTTATACGTACAAGATAATAAAATATAAAATATAATACTTATTGTTTCAATTTAAATTTATGTAAAGATAATACATCTTGAAATAAAATTATATTTTTATATTTTTAATATACATAAGGTAACGAACTTTTTATATATAGATTTTTAATATGCACGGATTGTATATGTTATTTAAGTTGCAATATATACATAGAAAAGTTTATAAAATAAAATAATTTATTTTTTAAATTTAATGAAATAATAAAAATTAATCTTTATATCTTAAATATGCACAGGAAAACAAATATTATATATATATATATATATTTAATATACACAGATATATATGTTATTTACGCTATCAACATATACAAGGGAAAAATTATAAAATAAGATAGATTATTTTAAAAGTTTTAATTTATGTGAAAATAATAGAGTCAAAGATGGAAAATTGTTATTTATATTTGTAATATGTACAAGATAACATTATAAAATAAGTTGTATTGAGGTAAGATAAGTTGATGTTTATGGCTAATTATAGTATATTTATTTTTAATTTTGGCTATAATTATGATTTATAAATATTATTATGACATAAATTATAGTATATGGTTTATTATAGTACACTTTTATTTTTGCTAAGGTGATGAATGGACCAACATATTCTAAACGAGATTAAACTAATTTTATTTTAATTTGAAAGAGTGAAAGAATTAAAAAATGTTTATTTTTTTATTATGCACGAAAGTAACGTATAACAAATGAGAAACTATTACTTAGATTTTAATTTATAAGAGCAACAAGTAATATATGTAATAATATTTATTGAGAAATATTGTATCAAAAAATATATTTATTGGGGAATAAATATATTCTCCAATTAATTATACGGGGATGGGTAAAAAAATTAATTACATGATTCAGAACTTGATAGTAAATTTATTTTTAATTTAATTAAAATTTTTCTCTTATAGATCAAAAGAAGAGCAGAAATATGGAATAACAGCATATTCACATTAGGGACAATATATTTAAAACAAAATAAGTTATTATTTATATTTTTAGTATGTATATGCAAAATGAAATTTAAAATAAAGTAAGCTGTTATTTAGATTTAATGTAAATAAATAAAAAATTCTAATTCTAAGTAGACTCAAATAAATTTTTAATTTTTATATTTCAATTTTATTTTTACCTTCTAAATATTAGTAATAAATCTAGTTGATTACTATAACTTTTTTTCCAGACACTGAGTTAAAATGTGTATTGCCAATTTTGCCCTAAGTTGTAAATTTTTTACTAGTTAGGTAGGTTTCAGTTTTCTTCAAGATATTAGCATTGAATTTAAATTCTATAATTACCGAAAAATAATTATAAAAGAAACAAAATGTTACTCTGACAACTTTTTTTTTTTAACAAAATTGAAATAATGAATGGGATCCCTCATTGTAGGCGAAATGAGCGCGAGGCTTGAACGGGTCTAAGTTGTAATGATAAGCTTAAGCAACATTGCGAATGATTTCTATTTGTTTTTTTTTTAAAAAAAAAAAAAAGCATTGCCAACGATTTATCCAATTCATCAGCCAATGAAAGTAGAGCTGTCAAGGGCCGGTACTAATTGAGCTAATTTTATTAAGCCTAATTATATCTCAAAATTTTATTTTTTGTCAGCCCAACCTTTACACCTCGATTTTATTTTTTCTATTTTTTAATTTAAAAATTTAAAAACATTTAAAATCTCAAAAAATTTATAACATATAATATTAAATTTAAAAAAATAAATAAATTAGTAAACACAACAACAAATTTAAGTCTAATAAAAAAGCAACAACATCACAAAATAAACATGGATAACAATCAAATTTTACAAGCATCATCAATTAAATTTTGATAATTTTTATTGTCATCAATATCAATATAATTTCATTCTTCTCCTTGTGAAGCCCCATTAGTGATAAAGATATTAAGTTTTTTATATATTCCTTCTTCATCCTTATAAAATGAGGGCCAAAGTTTTAAAATTAGTATAATATTTAATTTTTTTAATATTAAAATTTAAAAAAATTATAAAAAAATTTAAAAAGACTTGAATTATCATTTTACATTTTAAAATAATGAATCCATCTTCAATTTTTTTACGCTTAAAAGGATGATCTCAGAGTTCGACGGCTCTAAATAAAAGGGCACCAGATTGTTGCGGTGTCATAGGTTCTGATGTTATGT